ATATATATATATATATATATATATATATATATATATATATATATATATATATCTACATATCAATATGTTTGTGTGTGTATGTGTGTGTGTGTGTGTTGTGATGCTCGTATAAAATAACTACAAATGAACAATCATAATTAGAACAAATATTTAATTGATAACAAAATCCAAATCAAACTAATATGCAAATTAACTGTAACCATACACCATACACCACACACACACACACATACGCACACCCACACACGCACTCACCCACACACACACACACACACACACACACACAGAGATAAGTATAACAATTGTACAGCTAAATACTAGATGAAAATTAAAACGGATTGGGATTTAAGCAAGGTGAACCGACCTAAGTGGATGCGCTTCAGCACGAGCGTTACTAAGGGACGACCCAGCAGATCCCAAGCGGACTTGAGAAAATTGATCTCGCCTTTAAGGATGTCAATCATGAGCTCGTTATCGGAGGCGATATAGAAGCGCGACAAGTCGACAAACTAATGCACAATATAATAATAATAATAATAATAATCATAATATAAATAATAATAGTAATCATAATAGGACAAAAATAATAATAATAATAATAATTAGAATCATTTGAAATCAGAGAAGAAAGAATGGGATATAGATAGAAATATATTGGCCTAGAGAGCGGGGTACAGAGTGCGTTTAGGTGGGGTCTTTTGATCCACTGTGATCCGAGTCATTTACCTGCGGAGTGAAAGCAAAGATGCGATCCTTCAGAGAGTACAATTTGCTGGTGCTCAATATGCCGACATCGCGCGATTTACGTCCACTTAGGCCCAGCTTGCGATTCCGTCCCAAGTACGTGTACAAATGGCTGAGCACTCGTGCCGGCTGCACCTCAATGGGTGCCACATCGGCAATCGTTTGCACATGCAGATCGTGCTCGGCCAGCTTGTCGCGAATCTCGTTGTCCTCGGCTATGATGACCACTTGAACGACAACATCTGGCTTTTTTTGGGCGCCCAGGCGACGATTCAACGGGTCCAGCTCACCCACAGCCAGAAAGCCCTGAAAGAACATGAAACAGCTTGAATAGGGAATATCTAGAGGACTCGTTCGCGATGCACCCACCTCCTGCAAGAGGCGACCTAGAATAAACAGCGACTGGCCCCATAGGAAGGGACAACGGCCAACAACTACGCGCTCCTGCGAGCCGGGCTTCTGGTATTCGAAGCCCACCAAATCCTGCGGCACAGCATAGCTTTCAGGTATCAGCAATGTACCATCTTCTGAGCGCACCATTATCTTCTCCAACCGATTCGCATACTCCTGCACCAAAGCCTTATCATTTTGAAATGCATGGAACAGAATCAGATAACAATAGAAGAGCGGCCATTCGCATTCAATGTTCTCAAACATGCGCAGTTCCCAGCGCTCATAATAGAGGCGCGAGGGATCCTCCTTGGGTGTGCGATAGCCGTCGCGCAAGAAGCGTTTGCAGCCATATTTTCCCTGCAAGCGCGACAATATTGCATCCCGTGTATTGTGTATTAGCTGGGCATCGTCAACAGCAAAAGCTGGAAAGCCAATGACACACAGCAGACCAGAATCCAGCTCCTTACTGTTCGACTCACGAGGCAGCATGGACTGCAGCACTGCTTGGCACTTGTGCGCCTCGTCGGCAAGGACATGTATGACACTTGCAGGTCCACCGCGCGCTCCAAACAAATCCAGCTCGTTCATTGCCTCTAATGCTGCCTTAGCCATGCCGATGGAGCTGGCGTTCAGTTCGGGCTCACCTGTCGCCAATATAATGCCATAATGAATGTAACTATTTCATGTGAAAGATGTCAATACTCACCATGATTGGTCTTGTCGCCGCGCTCCCAAATACCATAGTCTGGTATGGAGTAAGCTGACTCAATGTAGAACACCAGATTTTGTATGAACGATACCTCGTCCAACGAAAAAACAATCTGAAGACCGGAGGCGGTCATTTGGGCCAGAATCAAGAGGTATAGCGATACCGCATCGATTTGCAAATGGCCCCATTCGTTGTCTCCGACAACGGGCAGACCATTCTTACTGGAGTACTTGGCATGCAGCGAATCGAAGGGGCTTTGGGTCATTTTGAATTTCTCGACTTTATCTTTTTGATTCATCATGGCCATGAGCAGGCCACGCATCAGCTTGACACAGCTTTGCTCCAGCTCATAGCACTTGGCGCGATCCTCATCCTGATCGGCGATCTTCTTGTAGGCCATTGACAGGCCCCACACGGCCAGAATGCAATACACATTGTCACGTATCCATGCATGCGAATTGACATTCGAGGCGGGAAATAAACCGGTCACTGGCTCCTGATGTGCCAATATTAAGCGATGCACAATTCGCTGATAGTAGTCGAGGCGAACCCCAGAATTGCTTCGAGAACGCATTTCGGTTTATCGTCCCCTTCTTATCCACGCGTTATTCTGTTGTTAGGACAGGTGAACGTTTTATGATCTAAATCTTGATAGTTGCTCCAACATTCACTTACATAATTACCTCTAAGAGCGTCAGTTGTCGTGTATGCAACGAGATACTCTAAGCGTAATTGTTGTCAATGTCTCAGTGTTCTCCCCCAACGGCCACCAGCCCGCCGCCCAGACACCCACCCACACAGCAGCAACAGCAGCTGGCTGCACTTAGAAGCTGCTGTAATCGTTGTCAATGCACAGAAATTGTCGCATTATTGTTGTGTGTAGATAGTGGACACGTGAGCTACAAGTTAATTAATAACAATCATCCACTGTTTGAATTGCAAAAAATAAAATTAAGAACTAAATCGTTAGAAATGCTAAAATTATACTCCGAAATGTCAACTCAATGTCATGTCGACTATCGATATATCATTCTCAAGACCAATATCGATTTCACATATCGACAAAATGCACTAGCCCAGAGTTGCAGCGCTGTCTCGATAATTAATTGAAATGTGAACTTCGTGTTGATTGGCGGGATATTTAAAATTACTTACCCAGAGCATATCCTACTTTGTTAATCTGAGTTCGGGATATCGCTGAAATAGATATAATGTAATCTTTGAAATCAAATATCGCATCAACAATTGAAGTTATAGGAACTGGTTCAAGAATGCTAATATGATCAGTGGCATTGACCCTGCACTTGTCGAAGCAGATAAGACTTTTCTTTATGAGATGCTCATAATTTCTGCATTTTGATTATGAGCAAGATGTTCAATCGGATTATTCGAGTCTTTTCAATATTATGTTTACTATACACTAGTATCTATACTGGCCGTGGTAAGATTCGAGTCCGATTTAAAAATTAAGAACTTAACGAAGTGCTTCACAGCTAGAGCTCTGCAAATTTATATCCTTATCTAATAGTGTAAAAATTGAAATGCCCACAAAATTGAATGTCGAACTAGATTATTAATTAGCTGAAACCTAAAATATTTATACGTCATACAGTTAAAGACTCAACGTTCTCATTCACAGTTCCCATAATGCATCACGGTCGTTGTAGCGTGGATGGGGAGATTGGATATTGCAAGCCACGTACTTTATGCTGGGAAAGTGACTCTGAGCTAAATAGCTCCAACCGTTCCGTCTGCTTATGTGCTAAACGAACAGATCTGATTTGCTGTCGACGTCGCACACCAATACAAATTACCTCGACTCAATCACCTGTTGCAAAACCCAACAATAGTGATCTGCTGCCCCCGCCGGGTGTTTGTGGCGTGGATCCTTTAATGAATCGCATTTTCCATGGCGAACGGGCGGACATTAAAGAATTCGGCTGGGCGGCTTTGCTGCTTTGTTCGAATGATGGTAACTTGTTCACTTGGCTTGAACTAAACATGTTACTAACAACTCCACTTTGCAGACTTGAATTACTGGCCGATGTGCGGGGGATCTCTCATCAATAATCGGTGGATATTGACTGCGGCTCATTGTGTGGTCCGTCAGTATAATATTCGTGTGCGTCTGGGTGAGTGGAATACGACCAGCACACTCGACTGCCAACAGTATAAGAATGGCGACAAGGTCTGTGCTCCACCGCACATAGATATCAATGTTGACCTCATTAAGCCACATGAACAATATGGAAGCTCCTCCAACCACGTCAACGACATTGCATTACTGCGCCTTAGCCATCCCGTAAACTACACAGACTTTGTGATACCCATATGCCTGCCGCCAGCAAAAGAGAAGTATGAGGATTCCTATTCTGGTATGGCCATGGACATCGTTGGTTGGGGAAAAACTAACAAAGCCAACTTCGAAGGCAGTTCAATCAAGATGAAGGCTATTTTAGAAGTTATCTCCATCTCCGAATGCCAACGAGTTCATCATCCGATCTACCCTGGCCAAATGTGCACCGGTGGTCAAACACCGCAAGGTAGCTGCAGAGGCGATTCCGGTGGTGCGTTAATGCTGCGAAATACAAGCTTTACCACTCCCACGTACTATGCCATCGGTATCATTTCACTCGGCCAGAAATACTGCTCACCTAGACGACTACCCCAAATCTTCACAAGAGTTGAGTTCTATGTGCCCTGGATAATTGATACAATGCTTGCCAATTCTTAGGATTATCTCGTTTATAATGACTGTAAAAATATGTATATATATATATATATATATATATATATTATGTGAATGTATGTCTGCATTTAGGCCATACATTCAGGATTAATCAAAAGGGTAATTAACATTTTTATCAAGTCAAGTCTAGTCTTAATCACGTCGGCTACGTTTGCGATCTGAGTGGCTGCCACGATCGTTCTTTTCGTCCGCACGCTTGGGTGCCTTTTTGGCCATGTTCAAGAACTTGTCGAGACCGAAGGGATCCTCCTCCTTCTCAAACTCAACTGGGCCGTTACGCTGAGCGCCAGCAGTATCACGCGAACCAGCTCCAGAGAACTGTTTGTCGGGAACAAAGCGCTTCGTATTGACAATTGTATCCAAGTCTCCGCCATAGTTGTCGCTGTCTGCCTGCTTGCTAGGCCGATAGATGTGAGCGCCCATTGTGTTAGAATCGCGCCATGGCTTGTCATAGACATTGTAGGCCTCGTCGTCACCGTAGCCCGAGTCCATGCCCTTTGTGGTATTAAAGAGGCGCTGGTCAAACAGTGTTTCACCATTGCCGGCACTCTTTGCTGGCAGGCCCAAAGCAATCTGCTCCGATATGTCACGCTCCCGTTCGCGCTGCAACTTTGTGCGTTTCTCTGGCGCAGCTCGTTGCAAATTACGGTCACGTTGTCGTTCCCTTTGTCGTTCTGCACGCAAATCGTTACGTTCACGCGCATCGGCACTACCACCCGGTGCATCTGGTTCGGGATTGCGCAAGCCAGCACGCTCCTCACGTGCACGTTGCGCCATCATACGCAGCATGTCCTCCTTCTTCTCTTTCTCTTTCTGCGCCAGCTTCTTTTCCAACTGAGCGCGAGCTTCGACAGCCTCACGCGCCTTTCTGTCGGCTATGTAAAGAGCTTCCGCCATCTTGGCGAACTTTTCGTTAATGTGCACCTGCTGCAGGCCACGGCCATCAGCGGCCAAGCGCTTATCCAATGGTATGGTATAACCTAGTGAAAAAACGAAACGTATCAACTAATCGAATGTACATTAAATGGGTGGCAAGTCAAACCTTTGGCGTTCTTCCAATTCGATATACAGGGAGGGATTTTCCATTCTTTCTGCTCCTTGACGGTCACCTTGCGCGAGGGCGAGTGCAGTACGGGTGCTGGCGGTGATGGGGGTCCGCGTGGTATCTTCTTATTAATGCGAAACTTGGGCGGCTCCATGGGATCTTGTTGCGCCTCCACCATACGAATAACGCGCTGTTTGGCGCCAGAATTGAAAGCATCGCCTTGCTGCGATGGCGTATAACGTATGTATTGCGCAGGTGCTGCCTTTTGGGCATGGCGCACAGGAAGCGCTGAGGTAATCTTCTGGTTGGTTAGTTTCTCTAGAGCTAGTCGTGTTTCCTCGGTTGTTTCGGCAACGGTTTCCTCGTCGGGACGCTGCAACTCTTCAGCGTCCTCGGCTAAAACCTCAGCTGGCAGCAGCTGAGATATCGTCGAGTATACGACTTTGTCTTTTCCGTGACCCTGGCGGGCAATGGCATCATATTTGACTTTACCTTTGTCATCAAGACGCACGGCAAGAGCATCTGGTTTCTTGCCCACATTGGCAGGCGCCCCAAGACCTGAACGACATAAGATGTTCATACAACTTTTATTGTTATTTATCGTTGCAAACTTACCCAGTGGATATTGCGCTACGTGTATTTCGGGAAATGCACCGCCATCTCCAAAGTCAGCCTCTGTGCGTGGTATCCAGTCCTTGCGCTGACCGTAAGGTGGCGCTGCTATTTTGGCGGACACCAGAGCACCTATCATTGGAGCACCTTTGGCTGTCAAACGACGCTCGTCCTCGCGATCCCATACCGCGTTAGTCGGCGTGGGCAGAAGACTTGATAACGACATCAGAAGTGTTTGGATATTAGTTTTTTAGTCTTTAATTTATATTTGCAGATTGATAATGATGAAAACCACTGCGAAGAAAATATGAACGCACGCACGCACACTATTATACACAGACGTTTTCTGTTTAGTGTGACTGTTTGGGAATAATAAAAAATACTGACACTACTGTAAAATCGAAACGACAGTAAAATATTTTCTAGTATTTAATTGGATATGAAAGTTTTCGATATCAGTTGCTGGATTTTTAGTGTCGACACTGACCAGAGAACACATAGACTAGACATGTAGAACAAATTTTTCTACACCTC